CTAAGTATTAGAAACATGAACTTAAGAAATTCAATAAGCATTGTTTTTCTGAAAGTTAAGATGTTTATGAATACATGTCGAAGCTAGTGGGAGCATAAGTGTTATGTTTTATAATAATCATCAAGATAGTGGGAGCATAAAAGTTATGATTGTATGATTATTAAGGCAAGTATTGCAAGGTTAGCAATATTAATTATAGAAAACAAGAGTCATACTTTACAAAGTCGCAATAGTTGAAGAGTTGTTTTGCTATAATTAAGGGAGAGAATATTATGCTTCATTTCAAATCTAAAGGTTTAGGTTGAGAATTGTTAATAAATTTAGTCAAAGGTACATAGTGTGTTCTTAAAATTTTGATTATGATTACGGCATCCCTCTTCACAATTCGAATTTTGAGAACATAGCAAATAATACATTATGCGACGTGTCCCATACGCTTCGGGTATAGGATCGATTGCAAATGCTTTAATGTTTGACCATTCTAAAATTTTCCGAATGTCTAGCACATTTAGAGGGAAAAAGGACTAGAATCAGTTTAGACTAAAATAATTAAACAACTATCAAAGGACAATCCAAGTTTGATGAGGATTGGTCGCTTGTGAGTAGTCGAAAGTATAGTATTGGAAAATATGGAAATGTTTCTATATTGGATGGACTATATCGACATCGTTATGAATAGATAAGATTCTATTAAGAATGAGTTGTCATATGGAACATATGGAAGTGTGTCCATATTGGGAATTGAATATTGAGAAATCTATGACTAGATTAGAAACGTCTATGCAAAAGGATGTTCAAAGAATGTACTTTGAGTGAGAGACATCACGTCTATGGAATTGTCTTGTAACAATCTCCGATAGAGGACTTTGTAATATCATTCGCAATAGTCTTTGTGACTTTGGTGTAGTGACATTACGAAAGGATAGTTGCATAGAATGTTAGAATCTAGCATATTCTATAAGTAGAAAGAATTTCACATTCTTTAACTTATGAAAAACGGATTTGGAGTTGTGGAATAAGAAGGATTGGAAATGTGTTCAATGTGATCTATTTCACAAAGTAAGAACCATAGGTAAACATTGTGTGCATGCTAGGAGCATGGGACAAGTATTGTACTTCAAGTAAGAAGTTGATTACCCGAAACAACAAATAATGAGTAATCAATATGGTGATAAATAAAAGGTGTTTTATTTATACTCAAAGGTTTGAGGCCATATGGGATTAGTATTATTCTCGTGTTTCACATTTGCATGTTTTCACTTCCAGAATAATTGAATTTATTATGAATAATCGAATTATTCGAACGGGCCACAGTCGTTCATATGTTGGAAGTAGATATGAATGAAGACTGTCGTGAATTGGTGTGTGGAACGTTCATGAGTGCTTATGAATGTGATTTGAGCATTGGATTAGTCCCACGCTCACTTGGATCACTCCGTGGATTGTATCACGAGTGATTGGTGAGACGATAACATCTTATATTCTTGAGACCGAGATGTGTGAGTTGTATCTTGCAAATCGGTTTCACATTGATAATATGTAAACGCACCAGTAACTTGGTGTAATAAAACCTATTGTTGTGTGTGATTCGGTGCGTGAATACAAGCAAGCATTGTATCAAAGTTTATCCGTTCCTTTTATCCAAAGTAGGATAAAAGCGATAGCTTTGGGCCCCTCGATGGTTTAGTGATGACAAACGTAAATGCTCGGCCGGGCTAGGGCTAATTTGATTTGTTCAATTAGTCAGTCGTCATAAATCGGGAATCGAGATATAGTACAAAGAGAATGATTTGAAATCATATCTCATATGATATCTAGAATGGAGGAATATATGATCCCTTATCTAAGGACACATGTATTTGATATGATCAGAGTTGACAGCGGCTTTGGAAAGCTACGATTGCAGATCGGGATCTGAAGTCATACGCATAATAGTTATTAGACTTATCCAAGTGGGAGACTGTTGGATTAGTGTCTAAGTCCATAACTATTTTGGTATGTAGTTGACCCGATGGGTTGCCTTCACCAAACCAACTTGATTGGAGAAATAAATAGAGAGAGAGGTTATTATGATTTATTAATATGTTATAAGAATAATATATTAAAGGAGAAATCATATTTGTTTAATTAATATTGGTCAATAATTAATTAAGAATTAATTTTGTGATCAAGTGTAATTAATTAAACTAGAGGGGCTGAATTGTAATTATGTAATAGTTACAAAATAAGGTAAGGATTATCTTATATATATGGTGGACGAATTTAAGGTTGGAAAGCCTTAGAATTCGAGTATGATAAGGATTCAAGGATTATCTTAAGGATAATGACTGAAACCCTATCTTTACACCTATATAAACTCCCTAAGGGTCATGAATTCGTGTATCCCTTCCCAAGAGGTCCTAAATACGAATTCTGACCTCTCTCCTCTCTCTTTATACCTTCTCCACTTGCTTATGGTGTTTGTAAGCCATTAGAGGAGTGACACTTGTGACTCTCTACTTTCCAAGGTCAATTCAAGGAGAAATTGGATTGTTATTGCTACATAACAATCAAGGTATGTTCTTAAACCTATTTACATGAGAATTCTGATTTCCATATGCTAGAATTAGGGTTCAAAGTCTTGGATTCAAAGTATGTACAATAGAGAAACCTAGATCCGAGCTTTAGGGTTTGTATGAGCACATAGGATGTCTTATGACCAAAACCCATCAATTATATCCATATATGTACAATATATGCTTAATAGGATTCGCGTGTGTACTCAAGTCACCACTTGACACCTAGCATCAAATCCAACATTGTCATCAGAACCACTCACTACAGGTGAGTTCATACCCCTTTAATTAACCTTTGAAATAATTTTAAATGTTTTAAATGCTTTTATAGGGGGGGATACAAGTTGAATACTTATAGTTGTTACATCAATCACATGTGATTAATAAGTATAAAACCAATGATTTTATCACTGTTTCAAACTGTTTATGAAACTGTTTTACTTCAAAATGTTTTACAAACTCTTTTACTTATCAAATACTTTTATTTAAACTTGATTATACTTCTTATAAATTGCATGTCCATATATGTATAGATATATAGGAAATGTTTAAAAGGCTTAGGAAGGCCATCCATCCTATTTCCTTTTCTTCGATTTGGATGTGGTCTGGTAGGATGTCGGGTAGCCGTCCGAGGGTCGTTTCAATATTAATTATATATCATCTGTGCTTATATAGACATAAAAATACTTCCATATTCATGCTTATCAATTACATCATTAATTAAGTTACCGTTGGGGTAACACAGGATTACACTTATACTATTGCTAGAGTAATGAGTCAGTTCATTCATGAGTCAGTACTTAGTACTATGAGAACATATACAATTATACTAGAAGGAAAACATATACAACTATACTAGAAGGAAAACATATACAACTATACTAGAAGGAGAATATATACAACTATACTAGAAGGAAAACATATACAACTATACTAGAAAGAGAACATAGACAATGATACTAGAACAGGAACAATACATTACATACACATACATACATTTACATAAATGTGATCCACTCTATCGGAGCATGCCTTAAATGTCATGGCCCGAGTTGTAACCAGAGTCTCTTGGAGGGAGAGCATGAGTTTGCGTATAGATCTATACTGGATTGACTATCCTACACTTTGCTGCTAGCTACAGCCGGACCTGCAGGTCTGTGGGTGCCAAACGTCATCCCTTTTTACGACCTACATTTGTCGTTGTTACTCAGTCGATAGTATGGTACAATTAATCACATGATACCTTAATATAAATCCGGTTTAAGGTAGTTAGTACAACAGTAGTTCCTATAATACAACACTACAGTACTACATTAATTTACCCATTACATACATTTAGTGATTATTTTACTTAAACATTAATGTACAAACTATATTTTGTTAATGATAATTACACTTGGGAAATTACACACTTTTACAACAAACGAACATACAAAACAGTTAAGCCTTGGTAGAAGGCTATTTTAATAGAAAATATAGGTTTTTCTAAGAGACTTAAACTTTTACAAACACTTACAAACATTTACATACATTTTACAAACTTAAACTTGAGACATGTTCAAACGTTTTTTTATAACAAACACCGACACTAAAATACTTATGAACTCACCAGCTTAATGCTGATACTCGCTTTCAAAATAACTTGTATTCTCAGGTCATCAGTAGACAGGTACCGAGACCAGCTTTTGAGAAGATGGAGCGCATTCAGGACTCATCTCTTTATTTTGACTTACATTATTTTTGGTGTCTATAACTATACATAACACACTTGTATTAAAATTATATATTTAATGCAATGGATGATGTTGTTTTCTTGTTTACTATTACTGTGTTGTGGTACTTTACATGACGTCTTGCGCCCCAGAACGTTTCCGCCGTTCTCGGTTTTGGGGTGTGAAAGTTGACTCCTCCATTGTTCCTTTGGTGAATTTGTGCCATAGCCGCAGTGACTGCAGCCGATACCGCTGCCTGAAAAGCAACAGAGTTGAAGTCGGGCGGGTTTGGCTCAGGGTTTCCGCGGATTGGTCATCGAGGCACCTTACTGCCATCGAAGGGAAAGATGTTGAGTGATTGTGCTTTTTGTGAGATTGTGATCCTATAAGCTAGGTGCGTGGCACGAACTTAAGTAATTTCACAAATTAGCACACAATCGTGGATATGTAACACACAACAGATTATAACATCACAGTAAACATATAAAATTTTTCAGTAATATTATCTGCACTTTGATACATGAAATTTTTGCTCGAAAGAGCATACCTAAGCGGTTTCAGTTCGGCAGCATAACGACTCTATGATTAGTGTAATCGCTTAAACATAGAGTCGATGGTACATAGCATAGATAATAGTACTAGTACTAAGGACTGATACATCTAACCGTAGTCGTGGTGGGTTCTATATAGCAGGTAGTAGAGCAGGTCCTATTAGTAAGGATGACGATGACGCTCAATCGTCTAGGTGGCGCACCAGAAGTTTAGCCAGTTCATCCGCCTCTTGGGTGATTACCTCTACTTTTCGCTCGGTTCGCGCAACCCTTGCCTTGGCCATGATGAGTTGAAGCTTCAGGTTGATAACTGCCTCCCCGAGAGCGCGTAAGTAGTCTGTATCCACCCCTTGAAACATGCGGAAATTTGACGACGCTTCCAACTGGTGAGGTTCACTACACGCCTCCTCAACGCCCTTTTCCTCGTTTGGCTCCTGGTCCAACTCATCATAATCGAAATCAACCATCACGTACGTATTCGTCCTGTTCTACTTCAGGTCCATTGTCGTGTGCCTTTGCTTGATCTACCTCTGGCTCATCCTTGATCCTCCAGTGGGCTACTAGGACCTGATGAAACTGAATGCCCTGCTGCTCCCCTTCCATAGCGACTAAGAGGAGGTATAATAATAAACTATCATTACTCCTATGACTCTGCAATTATTGTATAGATTGAGCGGATGTTCTCTTCTTGGTGATAAAGGGGTATGTTTTTAGGTTCCCTAGCCATCACGATTTCCTCGGGACATGTGATAGTTGTACCTTGGAGGAAATGTAGTTGATCAAGCTACATCCACTCCTTGATACGACTATGAACAGTCCTGACTTAACCGAGATGCTAGCATTATCTTGTTTGGTTCGATATTATGTTCTGTTTCTTAATTCACACAAGCAAAGATGTTTTATCGTTGTGTTTTACCTGTTTTGTTCAAAGTTGTGTTAGTCCCTCTTTTGGTTTATAGTTGCATATCAATGTGTGGTTAGACTTGCTAGTTCACTATAAACAGTGCTCTGATACCAACCTATCACACCCACGAACCAGACGGCGGAAACGTCCGAGGCCTCTTGTGACTTAAATTGAATACCATCACAATGAATATACATGAAGCATAACATAAATCATCACCATGCATTAAAATAATACAACCTATATTGTTTACATCCAATACATAGTTTTAGTCATTACAACTTCAAAACAAAAATTGCCTGATATATATCATAAGCAAACACCCTAACATTACTTGGTACTTATTCTTCGGTTTACCTGCCACCTGAGAATAGAAGTCATTTTTGAAAAACGTTAACATATGAAATGTTGGTGAGTTCATAAGCAATGTTATGACAAAATGATTTAGAGTAGTTTCTAAAACCCAGAAAATCCAATATTTTCTGAAAAGATTATTGTGAAAAAAATGGGTGTGAAAATTCGTAAATATATGCTCGTTGATTTTTCAAACCATGTATAATTGTTGAACTTTTGTATAGATCACAAAAGTGAAAATGTTGAACTTCCCAGGAAAACCCGATGTTTTCCGAATACATAAAATACAATGATTTCTCTATTGTTATACCATTACGTCGAATGATTTTTGATTACCCGGGGTGGCGTTGGATTAATTAGGGTTTGTGAGTTGTTATAATCATGAATAAAAAAAATGACTAGTTTATAACTACATATTACGAATGATCCTTAAAGGCGTCGACCGTTACTACTCACTTAATCCACTTACCATGATTAATCTTGTTTAACACCCTGAATTTGTTCACTTTGATTTCTCATAAGCCCAACAACCGAGGAGAAAGGGGGTACGAAGTCCCATTATTTCTGTGAGTTATTTAAGGCTATCGGGAATGCGAAAGACATGTTGACCCAACTCCCATTTGACTTCTCGACCTTACTAGCAGTACTAATGGGCCAATATGGCCCGATAGCACATTAGTGCCAGCGAAAGTCCTTTTACATGAAATTGGGTCATAGGAGGCCCAATAACACATAAGCATATTCCCTTTGGGCCCAAAGATCATGTTAATGGGCTAGCAAGACCCAACAAGAATGATTTGAAACTCTCAAGCCCAAAGTTTGTAAGTTAGCTCATCATAGTTATTGCGTGTTTAACGCATGGCTTTGATTTGACGATTTTGTTTTGTTATTTATTCGAGACCGAATCAATTCGTTTTGTAACGATATTTGTTATTGGGAGTGTAATTGTTTTCCGTTTCATCGGTAGCTGTGGATATTGTATTTTGTATTAATGAATTTTATTCGTTTGAAAATAGAATTTGACCTTTTCACCACCTTTCTTTCATAAAATAACGCTTTTGGTCTTCTCATATAAAACAATTTCATTTTTAGTCCTTAAAACCCTTTTCTTGACACTTTTGTACAATTTATTTGATGAAAACACAATTTTAACCCAAAACTTATTTTGGTTGACAACTTCAGCTCCTCCAAAATAGTGTTTCACGGTTAGGAACTCAATTTGCACAACTTTTACAGTTTTTACCTAAAATCCAAAAAGTTTACATTTTTGGTCCTTTTTGATAGTGAAAAACATTTTTGAGCCATAAAATGATTTTTTCATGCTAATTACCCCCTATTTTACAGAAAATTTCACTTCAGCCCCAAAATTTTATCATTTTCGCATTTTGGGCCTTATTGGGCCGAAAAGCCCAAAATTAGCCGATTAAGCTAAAAATTTACATTTTAGGTCCTTTGAAATTTCTAATGTTCAGGAAAATACTTATAGAAACTGTTTTGATCCTTTTAACCTTCAATAAACCGTGACTTGTTGATTTGTACCCCAAATTTTGTATTTTTGTTAATTTAAGCCCAAACATGGGTTTTATGTTAGAATATTATCATCATGACCTTATAAGCTATTATTCTTGATTTATTTAGTGTAAGATAGCTTAGTTTATGTTTGTTTCCTTTCTCATGTCATAGATCTTGGGTTTACACCCTTTTTGGTAACATATTCATCACAAAACACATGAAATCACACATATACATGCACCAAATGACACATAGCATACATATACACATAGATCTACACATTTTCATGTATTCTCCCCCATAAAACTCATAAAAACAAAAAAGAAAGGGGTATGAAGCTCACCTTGAGTGTGGTTTCGGTTTTTGATTCGGGTAGATAATAGATCGGGTGACCTCAGTGTAAGCCTACATCCAACGGGAACAAGACGTACAGCGAAGAACACACATCCTATTAGCTGTCGGCATCTGCTGAACATATATGTATCCTATAGTGTATACATTATGGAATCATAAGGTTAGCATCATGGTCCTAACTTCTAAAAGTAGCCTTCTACCAAGGCTCGATTGTTTTGAAAGCAGTCTTCTAGCAAGACCCTACTGTTTTGAAAGCAGTCTTCTACCAAGATTCCACTGTTATGAAAGCAGTCTTCTACCAAGACTCTACTGTTATTCTCAACTGTAAAGTACATTCTCCCTAGTTTATAACCTATCTTAAATAGAGAATATATTAACCTTCAAGTGTTACTGACACTTTATGAAAGTAATCGGAGAAATGAGTACCCTGATGTCATTTATAATGACATACAGAGGTACTATCAACCTAAAAACATATGTGTGTTTTATTACGGTCATAATGTGAAAGTTAGAACCCCTACTAACCCGCTCCCGTGTATGGAGATTGAGGGAACCAAACGCGACCCGAGAAAATCCATGCAAGCCGTGTAACTCACATTAAAGTTAGATCCTGTATGCGTGTTGTCATGCTATAGCATATTAACTTTTTAGTTATGTTATGTTATGTTATGTTATGTTATGTTCTGTGTGTGCTCCATTCTACTAGAAGTAATGATTAGTATTCTCTTACACTATACCTATAATAGTTTATTAATGCTCTAACTGGACTGATACTGAAAAGACTCATTTATCTACAAAGTTATGCTTATACTTTAAAGGAAAAACTACAATAAAGTCCCTACATATTGGCCTCATAATCGATTTAGTCCCTATATATTTTTTTTATTCAATTAAGTCCCAAATACCGGTAATCGTATTCAATTTAACCCTTTGACCCGGTCAACAGGTCATCCAACTTTCAAAAATTACATTTTTGGCCCAGATTAAAAATTTATTACAAATTTGGTCCAAAATTTACACTTTTGGCCCATATTTTAAATTTTTTTTTACAAATTTGGTCCAAACTTTACCTTTTTTGCCCAAATTTTGGAATTTTATTATGAGTTCATCCTAATTTTAGTTTTTTTTACAATTTTTTTTTCAAAAATTGTTTCTAATATGTTTTTTCTTTATAAAATCATATTTATACAAAAAAAATGTATTTTCACATAAAAATCTTATATTTTCTATATAAAAAGTTTTTTGTATATGAAATATCTAGTCATAAAAATTATGTATTTATTTAGTATATAAATATATATAAATTCGTTTTTATAAAAAATATATACAAACACCTATCACCTTTATATATATATATATATATATATATATATATATATATATATATATATATATATATATATATACAGGGAAAAGTGAATATACCCTTAAGGGTATATAAACATAGGTACCCAAACACGTTATAATACGTCATTTTGTTTGATATATTCATTATAATGTTCTTAAACTTCAACCCCTAACTTGATTTACTTTCAAGATTTTTTTAATTTTCACTATTATCTTTCTCTTACATCATATTTTTTTACCGAACACCTATTTGTCTATATATATTGTAGTTGAAAATGAAAAATATTTAAAAGGAAGATAAATGCGTAATTTATAAAAGTCATTAAAGTAAATCAAGTTAGAAGTTAAATTATAAGAACATTAGACAATTAGAATGTATTATATAATACAAAACGACGTAATATAGTGAGTTTGGGTACCTAAGCTTATATACCCTTAAGGGTATATTCACTTTTCCCATATATATATATATATATATATATATATATATATATATATATATATATATATATATATATATATATATATATATATATATATATATATATGTGCACAAATAGGTGTGTATCTATAATTTTGTATAAAATCATGTTTGTTTATATTTTTTTTATAAAAAATTGTTTGAATAATTTTTTATATAATATGTGTTCGTATACATTTTATAAAAACGTGTTTGAATAAGTTTTTATATAATACGTGTTTGTATATATTTTATAAAATCGTGTTTGTATACATTTTATAAAATGTATACAAACACGTATTATATAAAAAAAATATTCAAACACGTTTTTATAAAAAAAAATATAAACAAACACGATTTTATAAAAAAAATATAGATAAAATAGGTGTTTGTATACATTTTTTTTTGTAAAATACGTTTTTGTATACATTTTTTTTATAAAAACGGATTTCTATATATTTATATACTTAATAAATACTTATTTTTATAACTAAATATTTCATATACAAAAAAACTTTTTGAAGAAACTTTTTATATATAAAATATAAGATTTTTATGTGAAAATACGTTTTTTTTTGTATAAATATGATGTTATAAAGAAAAAACATATTTCAAACAATTCTTTAAGAAAAAAAAGTTGTAAAAAAACTAAAGTTAGGATGAATTCATAAT